CACCATTATGGCTGTTTAGGGAAAACAAAATAGAGGTTTTATTGGCATTGGCAACATCAACAGACACCCAAAGCATCCTTTTCTTTCTGCCCTTACTGTAGCGAAGTTTTCCTAAGCCTAAGCAGGCTGGTTCTCCAGAACTCCCAGCACCCAGAAAACCCTTCATTACTATCTTCTATGGTTAAAAACAGTCAAGATGTCAACCTGCACATTTTCAACCTCACTCATTCACTAACCACACTCTTCTACGAAGTACAGCTGGAGATAAAATAATGTGGGGGGGAAAAAACCCATCTGACACAAGAAAACCTCAGAATTGGCGGGAATTCACAGCTACCCCAAACGAAAACACCAGGTATGGCGGGTCAGTTATTCAAAACAGAAGCTAAAATCACCGGTAATGTTTCCCAAATTTCTTAAAGTCAGGACTGCCTATGTTATTAACATTGTACTTTAAATCAATTCATCTTCACCTACCACTAACACACATTAAACTAAAGCATCGTCTTTGTGCCCTTTAAAACTGTGCCCAACAGCAAATGTACCACGGAGGCAAGCACAGTATTTTACAAGCCACCAGACTGAACTCTCTTCCAATGGGCACGAACTGCACGATATGCTCTAATATAAAGTTTCGAAAGCTTCCATGTACGGAGAGCAAAGTGCCAACAGCAGAGGTTCAACCCACTCCAAGTACAGCAAAGTGTCTAAAGAATAACTCCGCAGCCCAGAAAATCCAAGTTAGGAGCTAGCAAACTGCCAACCACGACAAGACGCAGTTTTGCCTGCTGGGTGGCCTCAGCCTCCCAAGTTCCCAGCGAGGCCGCAAACAGGAGCAGCTGCACTGCTCACCCGGCCACCACCGTTCTGACGCTTCCCGCCGCCCGGAGCCAAGGGGCTGCTGCCTCAGCCACTAGGAGGTACAGGTGCCGCGGCCCGCGCCGGGGCTAGGTGGCCAAGAGCTCCGGCGCCCGCCAGCACTTCGGCCTGCACTCCACCGATCCAGGTCTCCAGAGTGCAGAGCGTGGGACGCCCGGGCATGGCCCGCCTTTATGCCTGTTCAGGCCCCCGCAAGGCGAGGACCCCCGGCCCAAGAGGGGCCCAGTGTCCCCTCAGGACACCGAAGCCGAGGCTTAGACCGTGGGATGGTGCCGATAACCGACGGATGAGGCTGGAGCCCGCAAAAGGAGATACTCACCGGCACGGAAAGATGGCGGAAAGAGGGAGGGAGGGGAGAGCGCACGGAGTTATGGGAAGTGGGCGGGCTATCGCGAGACTTTCCAAGGAAAGCCCAAAAATGGACCGCCGAGTAGGGGGAGGCGGGGAAAAAGGCGGAGCCTCCTCGGGAGTTGGCAATTGAGAGTCAGAGGACTCGACCTCCCCGGGTGCGGCGTGAGGCGGGGTTCGAAGTTCAACTAGATTTTGCCGCCTAATCTGTAAAAACAAGACACCGACGACAGGGCCTAGACACTCGTTAATTTTTATTGCAATAACCGTTCACCATTTAGAGTAAGTTTTGATGCGTGTGTATTGATAGTACCTCTGGAAAGACCCACGAGAGGCCGGCCGTTGCCTCTGGGGCGCGCGTTAGGGACGGGGCTGGAAAACCTTGCTCCATGCACACTTTGGTTGTTGAGACGTCTGCATTACTTTTTTGAAGCAGTCAAAAATATTTTTTTTTAAAGCAGTGATTCCTTTTTTACTCTCCTTAAATCGTAGGAATTATTTATTGAGACTCGAGCTGTATTTTGGTTTTTTTCTTTTTTTTTCAAGTTCTGAGATACACGGTTTAAAAGAAAGCCGAGAATGTCTGGAAACGCACACTCAGGATTCTGAGCCAGTGGCATTTATCTGCTCTTCTGCACCCGGACCAGAACCAGCTTAGGTTAGTCTCTTATCCTCCTCTCTGAACCTTCCACGGAAGTAAGCTGCGTGTGGAAATAATATCTGCCTCTTAAAGTTATTGCGAGGGTCAGATGAGATAATGGCGGCAAAGGGTGCACAACTGTCTGGCGCTGTCCGTCCTCACTGTATGTTGGCCAAGGAGCATGGGGTTGCGGGTACATCTTGGCGCCCAGGGTCTGATCACCTGGAAAGGGAGTCTGGCTGTGCCCTCTGTAGAGCTGAGTGTCCTCAGCCTCGTTACCTAACCTCTAAAATGTTTGCAATAGCCTCTATTCAGCCACACCCACCCACACATGCAGCCTCCTCCCCGCTCTCCCAGCCCTGTTTGATTTTTCTCCATAGCACTTACCACCTGAAATACATTGGCAGTGTATCTATTGTTTGCCTCTTAGCGCTGGACCAAGTTCCAAGTAAGCAGGGGTTTTGCTCAGTTTTGTTCACTCCTGTATCCACAGCTTCTCAAGAAGTATCTGGGACTTAATATACATTTGAGGAATAAAAGAATGGACATCAGTGTGGAATGCTCTGCCTATAAAAACAAAAAAATAAAATAAAAAAAAGAATGGACAAATCAGTTTCCCCATTTGTAAAATAGTGGTGATACTACCAACCACTTGAAGTTGCTGTGAGTATAAATAGAGATTCCATGGAAAAGAAATGAACACAAAACCTGGCAGAGTGATCAATCAATAGCAGTTATTTGTATAGTCTCAGCCCACCTTCCACCCACCCGGTCAGCTCTCAAATCATACATGAACCTTGAAGCAAGCAAAGCTTCCACTGGGGACATCTCAGGGATATAGCATTTGCTTTTTTGGTAAAAATTCTCTCGAAGAGCTGATTCCCTATACACTTGCAACATGTTCTGCTTACTAAAAATGTGGCATTTACTTTAACCGAGGGCCTTAGCCGCAGTGGGGAGTTAAGTGAACAACACCATTTTCCTTAAAGGGGCTTATCTTAAATAGAAAAATAGCACTGCCACAATCTCCTGATCCACTGCATTCATTCATTCAACATCTAATGAGTGCCTTCTATGTGGCATGTGTTGCACTGGGTGCTGAGGGGACAGTGTCAGTTCCTACCCTTTTGGCGTTTTTTTTGAGACAGAGTCTCACTCTCTTGCCCAGGCTAGAGTGCCGTGGCATCAGCCTAGCTCACAGCAACCTCACACTCCTGGGCTCAAGCCATCCTCCTGCCTCAGCCGCCTGAGTAGCTGGGACTAAGGCGTGTGCCACCATGCCCGGCTAATTTTTTCTATATATTTTTAGTTGGCCAAATAGAGTGGGGGGGGGGAGGGTCTCACTCTTGCTCAGGCTGGTATCAAACTCCTGACCTTGAGCAATCCACCTGCCTCAGCCTCCCAGAGTGCTAAGGATTACAGGCGCAAGCCACGGCACCCGGCCCTAAGTTCCTACCCTTAAGAGGTTCAGATCCCAGTAGAGGAGACAGACCACTAAACTATGTGATACAGGGCAATATGCCACATAGGCTGGCAGTGTAAAATGCTGTGGGAATGTAGAGATGGCCTGGGAAGCTGCGAAAGCCTTAACAGAGAAAGTGCCATCATTAAGGGTACTAACAACTACCGATTCATGACTGCGAGGGTGCCTCCTGTAGATTAACTCATTGAATCCTCACAACAAATATGAGCTGTACTATTAATATTAACCCCATTTCACACTTAAGAAAATTAAGTGCTATCTTAAATTGATTCAATGTTAAAATTTTGCTTTTGAGTCAATGGTAAAAAAAAAAAAAGGGCACTTAACTTGTCTAAGATACCTAAATTACTTGGTGGAAACTTTGATCTAGGTCTGATACCAAAATATTAGAAAGGATGTGCAGGGCAGTAAATTTTGTAGGCTTTTAACAGTCCCACTCTTAACATCGGCCAAGAGCTATTAATAGGAGGGTGTGGAATCATATAGAGATGAATATAGACTTCAGGAACACTGGGTTGGGATAGGGAAGTAGAAAGGAACGCGAATGGAGCAGAGGGCCAGGTATAAATTGCCTTGAGTTTGTGATTTGTGCTGTAGGCAAACTGGAAGTTGAGGTCTTAAAACAGGATCCATCATGATCTGAGTTAAAAGAAATGGCTACATATGGAAGATATACTGCTGGTATTACATTACCTCTTAGAAACTCCCAAATCTTTTTCACTCTTCTTGGCACAACTCATTCCAAAATGGTCCCATCCCCTGTAAACTCAGGGAGGATAGGAACAACACTGGAGGTAGCTGGAAAAGGAGTTCTGCTGTGGTCAGAGCTGGCACAGGGGTAGACCTGCAGGAGTCCAGCTTTGAAGAAGCCAAGCTGGCCTAGGAAGGAAGCCAGCCAGGTGAGACAGACCTGAGAAGTAACTGCAGCTGCCTGGTGGAAGACCAGCATTTCGAACACCTGGCAACCATGAGACCTTGGGTTGAGATTTCCCTGTCCAGACATCACAAACTCCCAGGAGGTTCCAAAGAAGGATCCGTGATCTTTGGAGTAGAGGGGCTCAGGATTTAATTTGCTACTGAATCTGTTCCCAAGACCCACTAACAAGCATAGACAGTGAGACGCAAAGATGAAAAATCCAATTTGAGAGTCAGGCATGGCAGGCAAGCAGCCAGGCAAGGAGCTGTGATCCCAGCTACTTGTGAAGATCACCTGAGCCTGGGAGTCCTAGGACAGCCTGGGCAATATAGCCAGACCCCACCTCTAAAAAAATTTTTTTAAATTCATTTTTGAGTTCTAATTTTGAAGTTAAGATGCAGACAAAAGTCACCCAACAATTATTTGCCATGCACCCATCATGTACCAAACACTGGACAAGACCCTGGGGGTAGGGGTGCCCACACAGGCACCCTGCTCTGTTCCCTACCTATTCTTCCAGCCTGGTCCTCTCATTCAATGTATTTCCTCTTCCATGCAGCAGGGGGCCTGGATATTTGCTGAATGAATGAATTTAAGCCTTACATTTCATTTTGTTCTTAAGAGAATACCTTATAATAGGCATGTAATGTCACACACGGTAGTTCATTAATCAGATCCATAAATCCAATCATGTAAACAGTACATTGGCTAAGTTATAAAAAAAGTGGGACACAAAAATTCCAGCTTTTTTTATTTTCCCCATTTACACAAAACAAAGTAGAAGAAATAATACAGGATTAAAACTGTAAAAGTAGTAGAATTCAGTAGAACACGTATACACAAAAAAATCTGGGTAGGAGGAAGGGCTTATTTACAATGAGGAAAAAATTGTAAAATTAAGGTAGTTTTCACATGAAACATTAAAAAAATCAAACATATGCTACAATGGGTATCACTGTTTACAGCAATATTAAAGGGAGAGAAAATAACACTTAATAGGGACAGATATACCACAAGGTACAGGTTTTACAGCATCAGTGCAATAAATTCACAAAACTATATTACAGCTAGTTAATCAGTTTAAGAATTGTTCCCAAATATGTCACATTTTTGGCCCTCAAAGATTCATTCCTATAGATTTCAGCTACTCTAAATTGCTAGCTACTGAGAAGGAAAGAATGATTCTAACAGGCTTTCCAAGAAATTACAAAATCTAAGTAGACCAGAGGCCAACTATCACCACTCAAGTCTGCTCTCACCAACAGCCCTTGCATTTTTTAAGAGAAATATTTAGAAAAATGTCAGATGCCAGTGTAATCACTATCTTTTATGCCAAACCTACAGGGACTAAAAAAGCCAGGTAATTACCATAAAATGAGAATTACACTTAAAGGCTTATTCTGGTCTGAAAATTTAGGCAGATAAGACTACTTTCTACTGAAATGAATCTTGACTAAACAAAGATGACTTTTGGCCTTTACTGGCTGGTCTTGGAGTAAAGGTCATAGATGAGTCTTAACCTACTGTATGTTATAGCTAATGTCAGCTGAAAATATAAAATTAAAAGTATGCTAAAAATCCTAAATGTAATCTTTTGGAAGTCTGCTATTAAAAAGCCTTTACATATTTACTAACTTGAAGTCTTAGTGCAAGGGGACAAGAGCTCTAAGCCTGTCAGATTTTCCTCATTTGGGAGAAAGGACCAATGTTTCCTACAAATTGTTAAGTTTTACACAAGAGAAACCTACATACACTAGGGCATGGAATTAGTTTCATTTTATTCCATGGGGATTCTTCCCCACAGCAAAGAAACAGAATGAGGAATGATTCTTAACTGGTCTCTTCATCAGAAGTGATAAATTTGGTCTCTATATTCCTGAAATCAGACAGTTTTTTAAGCAGACTGTGAAAGCAGACAGTAGAACCAGCTTCCTGTAGCCACAGACCACTATCTTGTATCTAGCTAAAGCAAAGATCAACTCCAACAATTATCCAAAGTCACATTAACTGAACTAAAGGGTAAAGTCCACCACTATGTTATTTTAAAGGAAGTTGCCTAAAAGTAAGAATTCAATTAACGCTGGGTGAGAAAAATCAAAGTAAGTCACACTCACTAATGAGTTGTCCATATTAAGGCCAATGGATGAGAACGTATCCAACTACACTTGACATGAAGACACTATGCACAAAGCCATACTTGGCGAGTCTGAATTTCTATTAACTACGGGCAGAGTGAGGGAGAGCAAAGAGCTACTTCTGTAACATTTTAGTATCCACATAGTATAGTAGAAACTGTTCCCAGGGATAATGTACACTCCATTAATCACATTGAAGAAAGCAAATGAATTATTCATTTTTCTTTTCTTTTTGTTTGAGAAGCTTGTTGATTTCCCTTTTGGCCATTCCGATGTACTTTGAAATGATTCCATGTTGGTTAAGTCCAGGAAGCAACAGTAAGAAAGTCACTTAAAATAAACAAACAAAAGTAAGGAGGCAGCAATTAACTTCTTAAAGGTTATTACAGTTTAAAGAAGGTAGATTCTCAGACATGAAATCCACTACTTCTATTGGTATTTGTCCCCAGCAACTTCTGTCACACCCTCTTCAACCTCAGATAATAATCACCACTTTTTACCTCCTGCACATTACTTTCTACCTTGGTTCTTATGTCCTTTGTCTTCACTTCCTGTTAAATCACAAACTCCCTGAAAACAAGGACCTGGATCTTAGTCATCTTTCTATATTCCCACAGTCCCTTCATCAGTGCCTTAAACTTGGCAAATACAGATTTGCTTATTGACTAAGTTACATTTAAACTGCACTGGCTAGGATGTGCCTGTAGTTTTCCTCAAAGACTTACCTATCAGGTAGGTGAGAAGCAGGTTGTGGACTTGTTGTCCCACCCAAGCAACCGCAGCAAGAGAAATGATCATGGTCATGAAGTACTAACAATGAAAATAATAAGAACTGATCAACTCCTAGAAACAGAGTGAGCAGCATGACTTTAAAGAGTTTGTTTCACCATGTTACAACGTACATATATCAAAACATCATGTTGAACACCATAAATATATAAAAATATATATAATTTTTGTCAACCAAAAATGAGTTTCTTTCAAAGGCTGGAGATTAATTTAGCTTTTATTATCACTTTTCTTTAAAGATACTTCGATTTAAAAACCTGTATTGTATTCTATAAAATATATAGAAAATTCCATTAGATATGCTTTATAGAATATAAAGAAAACAAACATTTCTTCCTAGAATAACTATGATTCTATATATAAATACTTTATTATATAAATTAAACTACTTTTTCAAGTAATAATTTCACATAGTAACATCAAGTGAAACTGAAAGAGACAGGAGAGCAGATACTTTGTATGTGTATGTGTGTTTTTGTGTTTTGTTTTGTTTGAGACAGGGTCTCTTTTGCCCAGGGTAGATACAATCTATGATATGATACAATCATATCATAAGCTCACTGCAGCCTTGAACTCCTGGGCTCAAGAGACTCTCCTGCCTCGGCCTCCCAAGTAGCTGGGACTACAGGTGCATACCACTATGCATGGTTAATTTTTCTTATTTATTTTTGTGGAGACAGGGTCTTGCTATGTTGCCCAGGCTGGTCTTGAACTCCTAGCCTCAATTCTGCTGCCTCAGCCTCCCAGAGTGCTAGGATTCCAGGTATGAGCCACCATGCCCAGCTAAGTATATACCTTTTACTTGTATTTCAGTAAGAAAAAAGAAACAGAAAAATTTTGCTCTACTAGAATAAAACGTAATATAATTTTTAATTTCCAATGATTTAGACTGATACAGATAAATATTTATGAACATACTTAGGAGTTAAACCAATAATAATAAATATCAGACTATAACTATTAAAATAAAAAGGCTATCATTATGTTACAATGAAGTTAAGATTAACTCAATCTTAAAATTTTGCTTTTCTTAAATAAAGCAAAAAAAGTACCATTTTAGGCTTTTCTTCCTTTAGTGTGAAGAGGCGTTTCCACCAGCCCACAGCTCTGCGCCGAGTTTTTACTAGATTGCTGCAAATTTCATGGAATCTCTGCTGTTGTTCGGTGGTCCTAGAAAAAGAAATTTTCCCTTTGCTATATAAGCAAGTCTCTATAATAGACAGAAATACACCATCCTTTTATATTTAAAGAGTTATCTTGTAAAGAAAGTCAAAATAAAAAACAATGGTTCACTGCTATCTTATGCAGGTGAAAAAAATTCTTGCACCATTAAGATATCTTTTATAGCACAGGACTAAGTTTTTGCTTAAAGAAGTGTGTATCTATGGGTCTGAAGTCATATTTGGTTAAGGATAATAACAAAAGACTTATGACTTCTATAGGCCATGAAGAAATCAGTATAAATTTAATTTTGTCATTCCTATATTATTTTTGAGATTCAATGAATCCTGCACAGTAGCCCATCAAAGTCCCACCAAACAATTTCCGCGAAACAGTTGTATTTGAGCACTCTTCAGTAATATAACTACTAGCTTTCAAAGCATAATACCAACCAGGCTTCAAACATTTGATACCAAGGTAGCGATAAATTTGGTCCCAGTGAGGGAAAATATAATAAACAAACAAGACAGCAGAAAATATTCAAGACCCTCCAGGAAAACCCTTTATATCTGTTTTTCTTGGGTCTGATTGAAAAAAAAAAAAGATTCACCTCTGTACTATCTTTGCTACACAAATATAATGGTTGCTATTATGAAGTAGGCCCTATGCTGAGGGATGTGTTGCCTTCTATCCTCTAGTCCTCGTCTCTGTAAAACTGTGGTGATAAAGTAGGAGGATTTCTGCTGAGCCCTGGAACTTCCTGTAAACAATTAGACCTGATATGTTGTCCATGGTCAAGGCTAGATTGTGGCTACACAACATAGTGTTCTTTCCCCAAGAGTTTTTCCCCATGAGATCAAAAAATAAAATTTGCTCTATGGATAACTATCAGGGGTTATTTCTGAAAACTTTCCTCCAGGAGTTATGAATTTGCAGATTAGAATGTGATATGGCTAACAAAGTCAAGGTCAGTGTTTGATTTCCTTTGTTAAATTTATTACATTACACAGTCACAAACTTGCCCAAAAAACAACAGCATTACTGCAAGTGAAAAATGATTCAAAAGACAATTCCTAACATTAATCCCTTCTGCTACGAGGGAAACAACCTGAACAAATGTAGTTAATTATGCCATAATTTAAGCAAACTCCCCCCAAATATGTGAATTTGTTCTTAAAGATCCATAAGGTACGCATTTAAAATTCTTATTTTTAGAGAATTATTTTATAATTTGCTATCATCTGGGAAACAAAAACTAAAGGCACAAGTAGAATACTAATCAAATTAAGGGGAATAGAGGCTGGGAGGAATAGCAGCTGGGAGGGAAAAAAAGCTATCCCAACATTTGGCTCATTACTACTTTGGCTCATTATTTGCAACAAAGGTGAGAAATTCAACATGTCAGAGGAAAGTTAAAATACTTTTAATAAGGCCAGGCACGGTAGCTCACGCCTGTAATCCTAGCACTCTGTGAGGCCAAGGCAGGAGGATTGCTCAAGGTCAGGAGTTCGAAACCAGCCTGAGCAAGAGCAAGACCCCATCTCTACTCAAAATAGAAAGAAATTAATTAGCCAACTAAAAATATATAGAAAAAATTAGCCGGGCATGGTGGCGCATGCCTGTAGTCCCAGCTACTCGGGATGCTGAGGCAGTAGGATTGCTTGAGCCCAGGAGTTTGAGATTGCTGTAAGGGTGATGCCATGGCTGATGCCATGGCACTCTAGCCCAGGCAACAGAGTGAGACTCTAACTCAAAAAAAATTAATTAATTAATTAAATACTTTTAATAAGATCCTTGGCTACCTAACTAAAACCTTAGGAACTCATAAACCACCAAAGAATGATATAAATGAAATCAATAAGGAATATACATATACAGTCTAAACCTATTCTGAAGCACTTGGTTAAACAAGATTTTTTTTTTTAAAGAAACAGGGTCTTGCTTGCTCTGTCACCCAAGGTGATCTTACTGCCTCAGTCTCCCAAGTAGCTGAGACTACAGCACACATGACCATGCCCGGCTAATTTTTTTATTTTTATTTTTTGTAGAGATGATGTCTCACTATCTTGCCCAAGCTAAAAACACAACATCTTTTTTTTTTCTTAATTTTTTTTTTTTGAGACAGAGTCTCGCTTTGTAGCCCAGGCTAGAGTGAGTGCTGTGGCGTCAGGCTAGCTCACAGCAGCCTCAAACTCCTGGACTCAAGGGATCCTCCTGCCTTAGCCTCCTGAGTAGCTGGGACTATAGGCATGCGCCACCACGCCCAGCTAATTTTTTCTATATATATTAGTTGGCCAATTAATTTCTTTCTATTTATAGTAGAGACGGGGGTCTCACTCTTGCTCAGGCTGGTTTCGAACTCCTGACCTTGAGCAATGCGCCCACCTCGGCCCCCCAGAGTGCTAGGATTACAGGCGTGAGCCACCGCGCCCAGCCAAAACACATCTTAAAAGTCAAAATATTTCACAGTACCTAGAACAGTGCATGACATAGTAGACATTTAATAAATAGTTGCTCAATGAATGTGGATAAAAAAATCTACCAGTTATTACTGTTATGTTCAAAAATAATTTGTGAAATTAATATTATACCATCTTAAGTATCAATGGAAATGTAAAAATATAAATGTACAACTTCTTATAGAAAGCTCATTATGAGTTCTATAATCCTTGTTAAAAACATCACCTTACATTACCTTTAAACAATATGACTTCAATAAAAAAGTCTAGAAAGAAAAAAAGTCAAAATAAATGGTTGACATAAAAGTACTATGGAGACAATACCAGAAATTCATGATTTGTATCTGACTCAGCTACGAAATTCTTCATATAAAAGCCATAAACCTAACCCCTAGGTGTCTGTCTGATGGTTACAATTATCTGTGCTTAATTGCAGCATACTAATCACAGCCACCAGGTTCAGTAACTACTTAGAATTTAGACTGCCAAATCATTATGCCACTTACCACTTATTGGAGCCAAAAATTCTAGGCGCTAGAATGGGAACAAGGTAGTCAGCCAAGCACAAAAACATAACAAAACAGGAAACACCGGACAGAACAGATGGATCTAGATAGTAGATAATCCTGTTAAAAAAATTAATAAAGATTAGAAAAACATAGCATTATTATTCCTTGGTAAAGATGTTTATTCACTTAGTCCACTGCTTCTCCAAATGTTTGCCATTTTCTTTCTAATTTTCTCACATGTGGTTTTCCAGAGGCTTCATAACATGCTGTTACCACAGCTACAATGGTTAATATAAATGTTAATAGACAAAAGCTTGTTGAGATCCTCAATACTTTTTTGTTTTTGAGACAGGATCTCACTCTCTTGCCCTGGCTAAAGTGCAGTGGCATCATCATAGCTCACTGCAACCTCAGACTCCTGGGTTCGAGCAATCCTCCTGTCTTGGCCTCCTGAGTAGCTGGGACTACAGGCACGTGCCACCATGCCTGGCTAATTTTTCTATTTTTTGGTAGAGATAAGGTGTCACTCTTGCTCAGTCTCAAGGCCAAAAAGTTTGAGAGTCTCTGATTTATTCAACTGTATTAGGTTACCAAGTTTACATAAGTACTACAAATTCTAGAAACTAGGAGAACAGCTTGTGAGAAAATGCATTCTTTATGGATTATGTATTACAAAAGACTGAAAGTGCTTCCCTAAATGGAAGCCATATATCCCCTGAGCCTTTATCAATAATAAGCACAAAACAAAAACAAAAAAAAGCTCTGCCAATCTCAGGTGGAACAAAAATAAAAAAACAACAAGCACAAACCATAGTAATCTAATAGCTCACTTACAGAAACACCAAAGAAACCACACCCATGATGGCAGGTGGAAACCAGGCTCTTTCCCATCGGAGGACTTTATCCGTCATCAGCATCACTTCTCCCCATCCTTGCAGCTGCTCTTCCAGACTTGCAGTCTCTGCAGCCTGCATTCGATCAACATTTAAAGCAATCATTTCACCACTCTCAACATTTTTGTGGTTCACAGAGAGTTAAATTCTTCTAAGGCACACAGTATGTAAAATATCTCTTAACCAAATCATTCTTAAACAATGTAGTTTCTGAAGAACTCTGCAATTTTAATACCAAAGACGGAAACCAATGGAGGAGGGAACTATCCTTTAATGGTCACCTTCCAAGTCCAAGCTCTGGGCTATTCTTTACATACATGAAGTAACATAATCCTTATTTTTACAATTAAACAAAATTAGCTCAAAATAGTTTACTAATTTTCCCAAAATCATGTGTAGAGTTATGTGTCAGGACCCAGAGACATTAATAAAATTAGATAACTTTAAGTTTATTCATTTAGGTGGTTAGCATCGATCTGTTGTTTTTTTAAATAAATTTTTAGTTTTTTCTTTTTCTTTTTTTTGTGTGCAAATCCTTCACTTGGAGATCTGTTGTTTTTGTCATTTCATTGATTTCAACCCTTCTAAATCCATTAGGAAAGCCTTTTCCTGAACAGCATTCAATTTCTAAAATAGCTCTTTGTGTAATGGAATCACGTAGATGCTGGCATTCATTGCACAATTAAGGAAAACTACTTTCACCAAATTATATGTGGCATTTTAAACTCAATATATCTTCTCAATACAGTATTTCTTACCACTTTAGAGGACATTTTTGTTAGACTTCAAATTTCTCTGCAAATATGACAGTCAGCTAAAAGTGGACCCTAGGATGAGCTAATGTGACAAAAGCCCTTAAGCTGACTTTGGTAAAGTAAGAAAAAAACTGGAATAAGAAACCCATATGTCTCTATAAATGTTATCACTGGGAAATAAACGTGCAAATGACAGGACAAAGCAAGTTAATCTTTTTTTTTTTTTTTAAAGAACAAAGAGAAAAAAGCAAGAGGGAAGGTTAATCTTAACAAAAGATGTTGGGCCAGGCACGGTGGCTCAGCTCAGGAGTTCGGGAGCAGCCTGAGCAAGAGCAAGACCCTGTCTCTACTAAAATTAGAAACAGGGTCTCTACTAAAAATAGGAAATTAGCTGGACAACTAAAAATGTATAGAAAAATTTAGCCAGGCATAGTGGCAAATGCCTGTAGTCCCAGCTACTCAGGAGGTTGAGGCAGAAGGATTGCTTAATTAAGCCCAGTAGTTTGAGGTTGCTGTGAGCTAGGTTGACGCCATGGCACTCTAGCCTGGGCAACAGAGTGAGACTCTGTCTCAAAAAAAAAAAACAAAAACAAAAACAAAAGATGTTATCTTTGCCACACTATTCACTCAGGTGACCTCATTATTTCTGACTTTATATCCCAAGCCTAATACTAGTGAAATAAGAAAGTACTATGTGCTGGAACTCTGCTAAGTATTTTATATGCTTCTACTTCAATTAATCCTCCCAACAACCCTAAAAGGAAGCTGTTGTTACTATCTCCATTTTACAGATGAGGAAACTGAGATACACAGAGGCTAAGAGATTTGAATCCAAGACCAAAGACCTTGCTTTGCTCTCCTTAAAGTTATACTGCTCTGCTGGAAAGAGTAGTTGAGTTGGGATCAGAAGCTCTCTCAGCCAGGATCTGTCATTTCAACAGGGCTTGAGCCGCTTCTTTATGCCTCAATCTTCTTAAAAGGAAGCATGCTGAGGGCTAACTATGCTAACTAGAGAAGCTGCGTGTTTAAGGACAGAAGTCATGTATTTTTAAAAACAAATGCAAGTGAAAATCAGGCACTATCCAAACTGCCCTGCAAAGTCACTTAATTTGTCAGCATCCGAGCTCTTGGAAATTCAAAAGCCAAAAATTACATTCTTTGGTTCCTCTTTTCATTGCTAGTGTGTGGCCTGCCTTTCCCTGGGAAAGAGTGATGGAGAAAATGTAAGGATATCTCTGTTTTTGCCTAGATGGTGCACTTAAATTTGTAATGATTAAAATTTGTCCGACTATGACAGCACCTCATTGCAGTTCCTTCGGATCCTTGCTTGTTAATCTAAAGTTGTTTCCAGTCGTCCTGTGACCCCCTCCCAAGACTTACAAATTCCAGACAAAGGCCAGGACCTTCCATTGTCCTTCCAGCTGGACCCCACTCCCAGTTCCCTGCGTGAGCTCGCAGCCTCCCCGTCGTTTTAAGTTGTGCCAAATCTAATAGAAATGCTCGCCAGCAGCCCTTTGACCCTACACCCTTGGCCGCACCCCAGGCTTGTTACAGACCCCCGCCCCCCGCTTCTCCCACTTCCTCCTCAACCCCCATTCGCGGTGACTGATCACGCGCCCTCCTTGCCCGGTTGCACATCATCCCCAAGGGATGGTTAGGGGTCGATGCGACTAGGGACCGCCACCCAGGAGCTACCCAAAAAGCCTGAGGGGACAAGCTTGTGCCAGGAAACGGGAGAGGAGGGCCGGGCCCGCCGCAGGTGACAGGAACGAGGCCGCAGCGGCTGCCCCGCGGCGCCCACCGACGTCCGGGAGCCCCCCGCCCGGTTCCCTCGGAACAGGCCGCCAGGACTCACCAGCAAGTTGGTGCTACGATTATCTCCCTCCGCCATCGTCCCTGAGATGCTGGATCAGCGACTGTAAGCCACCCCCTCCAACTCGACCAGCCTCCCTGAGACAGCTCGGCTACCTCAGCGCGAGGGAACGCCCCGCAGGCCGCTTATATAGGCCGACCGCCTTTCCCGACAGCCCCCGCGAAGCTCGCCCCTCATTGGGCAGACCCAGCTCAAGCTCAAGGGAAGCCGGGCCAACCGATGCTCAGCGCATGGCTTGAAATCGAGGTCAAAGGAGAGAGGGGCCCAGCCGGCCGAGGGGGCGGGGACGCGGAGTGGCCAATCAGCGCGCGGGGGCCGTGCGGCGCCCCGCCCAGGGCTTTTGGAAGCGGTTCAACTGTCGCTGCAGGTGGCTGGGTCTGGCTGCAGCCTGCCCAGGCTTGGCGGCCGCGGGAGCCTTCGGACCCTGTCTGGCTGGATCTTAAAGGAGCTGAGAAGCCTCCCTGGGAAACTGAGTACTGGAAGAAACATGCTACGCACTCTCAGGCGGAGGGCGAGGGGCCTGTGGCGCTCAACTCGCTGTGGCTGGGGAGGCCGGCCGGGGCCCTCTGCCCCTCCAGCCCGGGCCCGCCGGCCGCCCTGGCCCGGCCTCTGAGCAGCTTGGCCCAGATTCGTCACTCGTGCCCACCTCGTGAGGTTTAGAGGACTGGTGAAAAGAGCTCTTTATGTAGATTTTGCCGCACTGTTTCTCGTCTACCCAATAAGTCCTTGCCAGGCATAGTTTGTGAACGTGTGAAAAATACACCGCCTTATAAAAGTGACTTACATAGGGGGTCTTTAAGGAAGTTCTTTGTGCACACTTCAGTTATTGCTTAAACGGTAAGCTCCCTTATGGCTTGGTGTTGACAGGACTTTTCTTACATCAGAGGTTATAAGATGTCAACCCTCTCATAAGCAGTGGAATTCATAAGAACCTTAGGAACTATGTTGGGACTCTTTTCCTTCTCTATCCAGAATTTCAAAAGACATTGACTAGTGCTTTGATTTTCACTACTCAGTCGAAACAAAATCATGCCAAATGTTGGCCTGATCTGATGTCTGTTTCAGGTAAATTAACTAGTTTTTAACTTGCAACCTTTTATTACAGTTTTTAACTTCCAATCCTTCATCTTTTTATAGTCATCTGTAATATATCGTTGAATTTAAATTTATTTGTAAAACACTCAAGTAAACTACCACGTTCTCAAAAATTCAGGGAAGTCATAAAGAAACGTGAGAGAGAACATAGCTAACAGACCACATACTGCCCGGAAGAAAACTGGGCAAGGGCAGGAACACTGAATTTCATCAGAGTGTCAAATTTGCCACTGAGCTGGGGGAGAGGGGGGGAGGCATCTGGACCAGGTACAAACACTTCAGAAAAAAACAAAGCCTTTGCAAGGGAACGTGACTCTTCACTAAAGTGCCACTTTCAGGAATGTTGAGGGGAAAAGTATAGCTAAGATGCAGCCAGTTGATACAGAGGCCCCACTGGGGAGAATGGGGAGATTTTCAAACTATGGGGTTGGAGGAGCAGGCCTTCCTCCACCTCTTCCAAATAAAATTAAAAGGACAAAAGGATCCAAGCAATCAGCAGCCACACAATTAGTGAATCTGTTGAAGATTGGGTGCACAAATCTTGCTTGAGGCACGGTAACATCCGCTTCCCAAAGACAGTCCGCGGAGTTCATGCTAGGCTTTAAAAACTGACATTTCTATTTTGGGAAATCAACTTTGCTACAGAATATGCTTCTGGTTTTCACCCAAATTCCCTATGTTACAGAAGGAAGACTTTGACACCAGCCTGTGAAACTGAGGTAGGTGAAAAATTAACTCAAGCAGCAGTTTCTTCACAGAATTTTTTGTTACTTAAAGAATGTGTTCCCAGATTTATTTCCAGATTCATATCCTAGGAGCACTGGTATAGGGTCTTTCACTAAATTTCCAATTGGTCTAATTATTAAAAATACCTACCCATAATGTAACTTTTTTTAGAGCTTTGTTTTGTCCTGCAAACACAGGATGTGATCTTTTGAAATGTGCCACATGACTAAGCAGTTAACATAAATCCTCCTAACTTCATCTAGCAGCAACAAATGCAATCTTCAGGCTGGATGTTTTCTATTTTCCATCAGAGCTTTCGCATCCCAGGGAATGCACATATCTCTCAATAATGGTCTGCAGGAATTTTGCTTTTAAATATTGCCAAAATTAAGCTTCATAAACTGAGTGTTAATACTAAGAACTTTCCCACTGAAGTACAATTTCCACTGCTGTTCAAAAATACAACAGAAAAAAATAAAGAAGAGGAAAAAAAAAAAAGAAAAAAAAATACAACAGAACTTTAAGAGCAAAATAATTACTTTTTTGAGAATTAAGGCTTTTTAACAAAATTTTTGAAGTATTAGTGCTTTGAAGGAAAAAAAAAAAGCTGCCCAGGTTCCAAAATTAAGTTTTCTGGAATCTATTTTGACCAATGAATTCAGAACTTAAATACTACATATTTTGAGACTGAACCTTTATTTTTTGAAAAACAGGTACTTCATACAATCTTTGCCATGTTAATGCAAATATGCACAAAGTAGGCATGTATTTTTGTTTTCCAAAAGATGCATTATGAACATTTTCAGGAAGCTGGTGTGATTTATTCAACTTTTAATCTTAAATACAATCACAAAATTATATCCATCAGGAGGCATTACAACCTTTTGTACAGAGAAGCCATTATTTATACAGTGTTACTAGGACAAGGAAGAGTCAGTTGAATGCAACTTGCTCTTACAATAAGGGTAAAAGGTAAATTAACAAGTAAGTGAAGTATGATGTTGCCACTGACATTACAGCTGGAAATATAAGGGAAATTTAAACCAGAAAAATAACTGGCACAGCAACTTTAAAGAGGAGCTGAAACTTCGACTGTTGGTAAAAGAAAAGAAAAACTATATTTTATCAGCCTGTTTTGAAAGAAAAACATTCTAAAAGTCTGCCTTTTAATAACATGCAATTTTTACGTTTACCATCTTTAAAAATCGAGCTAATTGTATGACATTTTTACATTAGCACGACAAACAGCTTTTTCCTAGTAAGCCCAGCCAAATTCCCATGGAAAGTAAGGGACCCTAAGTGGTTCATGTTCTATAACCCTTGAAACCTATAAAGCTTCTCTCAATGAGAGTCAGTTTGCCCTTCTGTTAACTAAGGTTGGTGATATTGTTATCCAGGCCTAAAAAGCAGGAAAAGTATAACAAAGCCTTAAGGTTTCATAATACAATTAATTTCCCCCTCCCCAACATTTGGAAAAATTTGGGATACTTGCTAGTTTTTTCCCCATAGGAGGAATCTTTCTAATACTACCCAAACATTGAAAACAAAATCTGCCACCTTTAAGAAACTCTTGCCTTAATATTAATTCTACCTCCTTGATTTAAGGGGGGAAAAGTCTTAGTTCTAAATTACTGTATTTTACAAGCTCAACAAGATATAAAATGGAATATCGGTTTTCACAACTCATCTAATTTTATGTTAAACAGAGATGCTTAAATGTGCTAATAGTTAAAGCATTCATTGATATTTGATGTTTGTGAATATGACTAACAGGCTAATTGTAGGTGCTTTCTTTAATATGAAAAGAATTGGGAGAAAAGAAGAACCAGCTCCTTTGATTTTAGTAGTGCCAAAACAAGCCCCCCAGAGTAATTACAAAAATGTGGAGGAAAATAGGCCAGGAAGACTTTTCAATTCAAAGTACTGCCTATAATACCCCAGATTAAAAAGGACCTAAGATTGCACATCAACTCTAATATTTGGCTGTACTTGCATTGCCCTGTTCGGCATTTTTTAAATGGCTCTTTCCTTAAGTTTCACACATCAGAACAACCACAATTTAAAAACAAAACAAAAAACAATGCAGATAACACCAAACATTGGACAATATTAAGAAAACCACTTACTAAGTTTAGATAATAGAGGCAAATGTTAAGAGCAGAAGTGATGGAAGTTTTTCTTTTTATAACAAACCCTCACCCTGAACCTGGGGTTTGGGCTCTAAAAAAATAATTTCCAGACACAGATCAAGAGCCTGATTAGCAGTTCCCACACAGAAATCTCACGTATCTCAAGAACAACTCACCACAAGTGTTGGACACAAAAGAATTTTAGTAATCACCTAGCAAACTATGTTAAGAACACATGACCAAAATTAATGAGAAACTTCAAGACACATCAAAGAAAGAGTAAAAGTTAAAATTGGCTCCATAAACTAAGCTTCCACAGCTTTGCAGAGAAATAAACTAAAAATTAGGCAATTCTAGCAAATTAAAGAAAACAAAACACTTAAAATTAACTTCAATTTCCAAGAGTACTTTGAATGGAAGAGGTTGTTTGTAGGTTACTCTGTACCCCTTGAATCTTAGAAGAGAGAGAGAGAAGAGGAAAGGAAGGGTGAGAGAGAAATAGGAGAGGATCCCTGGTTTTCCACAGGTATTTTGTGTCATCAAAAATGTATGACTTCTTAACTACAGCCCTCTTAAACATCACATTATTTTAGAAGATAATCCCTAAAATATAGCCCAGTCTTCTCAATCTAACTGATGAGGTCTCTTAAAAATGTTCAAAACGGCTGCTTACACGATGACTTCCCAAAGGAAGCCTAACAGTACAGACCAGGATCTTGTCCACAGTGCAGTAAAGAGCAAGCTTTTGAAGCCATCAGTTACTCATGTCTGCCTCACAACCAAATAGCCATTGTATATGCCACATTATCCTCTGAGGGAACATTTTAAAGTAAAAGTGATGGATAATTTACCAGAGGCACATATTTCTGAAATAAAGCTGTTTTGTTTATGCTTAGATAAGGTGCCAGGTACCTCTGATGTCTGAAAACACAGGCAATAAAATTCACCCATTTCATTTATCTTTACCAAAGAGGAGGCAATTTCTGAATACTATCAACTGTGACAAACTCGTGTGAACTGGTTTTATCATTGTGATAAAAGTTTTCCCTGTGACAATAATAAAGAATGCTGTGAAAAGACTTTAACCTTGAGAGAGCAGAGGTAATCCAGTGATGAATGTAATGGCTCCCAGAGCCTCTAAGAAATAAAGCAGTGTGCAAAATACAATATGGCATTATTATTCCAGCTAGGTTGTTTTGATTGTGAAAATAAGGTTCAAAATG